TGAGTAATGAGCACTATTAAGGCTTATTTCAATGTAAAAAACCTTGAAATAATGCACAAAATTGTTCAGAAGGTTGTTTTCTTAGCGCCTGCTGGAATACTACAAGATTTTCTTTAGCCAGCACAGCTGGAGTTCCTGCCTTCATTCCAGTGCCAGTGAGAATGAGGGTGGAAGAATTTCCAGTGTTGCTGAGAACTGGATGAGACTTCGGATCAAGCTAGCTGCCTGCAGAACTTACCTGGACTGTGATTTACCTGAACTGTGAGTTAATCTATTGAGACACTGCTTTACCTGGACTGAGAAAACAAACTGTAATCTACAACAAATTGTAACTCGGTATCTTTGCTAACGGTGTCATTACTGGTATAATTTTTCCAAGGGCTTCTTGCATGGAGCCATCAATTGGCTTGGTATTGTGGCATTTTGTATCCTCCCCTTCAGCTTGTAGCAGATTGTTTGTGGTGTTTGTGTAAAAACCACTATGGTTGTTATTAATTGAACAAAAGGGGGAAATGTTAGTCTGTAAACAAGTCAGGATGGTGCCTGGCATTTTGCCAGGGGGAGTGGTTTGTGAAGTATCACCAGCGAGCCATTAAGTGTGGAGATTCCTTATTGGTTGACTGCTGTATCTATTTTATGTTAATTAAGATAAGCTGTGTGTAATTATGTATATATACCACTCCTGTCCTACAATAAACGGCTCCCACTCCAGCTGTATCAATCTACACAAGTTGCTCCTCACCCCCTGGTTATTTTGCTGCAGCTGGACTGCGGCAAAGCTGGGTGCAGTACCTTACTTCCTGTAACCCCAACTACTTGGGAGAATGAGACAGGAGGATCCCAAGTTCAAGGTCAGCCTGGGCAATTTAGTGAGATCCTATCTTAGAGCAAAAAAGGGATGGAGGGCTGGGGTTGTAGCTCAGTGGTAGAGCACTCGCCTAGCAAGGGCAAGGCACTGGGTTTGATCCTCAGCACCATATTAAAAAACAAATAAATAAAAAATAAAGGTTAAAAAAAGGGCTGGGGAATGTAGCTTAGTGGTAGAGCAACCCTGGGTTCAGCCCCAGTACCACAAAAACAAAAAATGAATTTATTGTTACTAGGTCTGGAAATAGGAAGTCTAGCATGGGTCTTACTGGGCTAAAATCAACAGAGCTGTGTGTCCCTTTCTGGAGGCAAGAAGAAACAATCTATTTTCCAGCATTTTCCCTTACTCCATTTTCAAGGCTAACAACATAGTATCTGTCTGACCATTTTTTTGGTAGTCACATGTCTTTGACTCTCAGCTTCCTTCTTTCTCCTTTAAGTACCTCTGAGTTTACTTTGGGGCCACCAGTATAATCCAGAATAATCTTTTGAGGTCAACTGCTTGGCATTTTTAATTCCATCAGCAACTTTAATTCCCCTTTGCCTTGTAACCTAACATATTCATAGGTTCAGAGGATTAGGATGGGGACATCTTTCAGGGCCATTATTCTGCCAATCACAGTGCCCTTCATGCTCCAGAGTTATTTACAGGTTCAAGCTAAGGCTAGATCCAGCTGAACACACATTAAGGGGCCTACAGGATATGTCTTTATTCAATAGTAAACAGTGTTTGTCATAATAATGGATAAAACTTTATAAGAAATTTAATGAATTACTATAAGGATGTGAAAAGGAAGGTGTTACAGAGCTAAATCCACATCTGCCATAATAGGAAGTCCAAGCCATTTATCATAATACAAAGTCTAAGAAATATATATGGTTATAGTAAATACTAAGAGAAACAACTAATATAGTTGAAACTTCTCTGGGGGAAAAAGTCACCAAGTTGGAGAGAGGTGGAGCAGAGAAGTGCTCCTTTTCTTTAGAAGCCTTGTAATCCTCTGACTTTTTGAATTATGTCCATTGTTTCAGTTAAAAAAAAAAACTTAAAAAATAAATTGTGAATGCATAAAAGTTGAAAACAACTCCCCATAGCAATAACCCACTAGTCTTAAATTTCTGTCTCTGGTTCTAAAAAAAAAATAAATAAATAACATTCTGTATATAAATTAACAAGCACTTGGGGTTGGGACTGTAGCTCAGTGGCAGAGCACTTGCCTAGCTTGTGTGAGGCACTGGGTTCGATCCTCAGCACCACATGAAAAATAAACAATATGGAGGTAAGAGGTGCCATATTATATTCATCTTTCATTACAGGAAATTAGGGTATATTACCTGAAGTTTGTAAAGGAAGAAAAATTAATGTATAATATTTAAACTTGGAAACATTTGATGATAGGCTACCTTATGTTTTTATAAAGAATGTATTGCAGCCAGGCACGGTGGTGCACACCTGTAACCTCAGTGACTGGAGTGGCTGAAGCAGCAGGACAAGGCCAGCCTCAGCAAGTTAGTAAGATCCTATCTCAAAATAAAAATTTTAAAAGATTGGAATGTAGTTCAGTGGTCCCTGGGTTCAATCTCCAGTACCAAAAAATCTCAAAAAGAATGTCTTGCTGGGCACTGTGGTCCAGGTACTGATGAGGCTGAGGCAGGAGGATCACAAGTTTTGGGCCAGCCTAGGTAACTTAACAAGACCTTGTCTCCCAGGGGAAAAAAAAGGGCTAGGGAGGTAGCTCAGTGGTAGAGCACTTGCCTAGCATGTGTCAGGCCTAGTTTCAATCCCCAGTAGTATCAAAAAAGAATATTTCATCTGTATTATATTTGAAGCAAACAAACAAAACACTCTAAAAATCATCTATTTTGTGAGGAAGGATATGGAAAAAATATAAGAATAAAAATTAAAATCAGTCAAAATGTCCCTATATATCTTCCAAAACCTAAATCACAAAATAGGTATATTCCATATAGTCAAATTTTAATAAATCTTACAAACAGCTGTTATGTCCTAAAACAATCTTCATTTCACACAAAAGCAGGCTATCTAAATCTAAGCTTTTCAATGAAGCCCCACCAAGTCATTCTTGAAGGACCCTGGTTCACAGCACTATTACACAGAGAAAGTAGTTTTCCATAGGGCAACACTAAATCCAGCACAGTAACATGCTTTTCACAAACTTACATTATCAACTGAATATCTACCAAGAGCCAAGCACTATACAGGTTGAGTGTCCCTCATCCAAACACCCAACATCTCAAACTTTGAGAGCCCACACAATGCACCAAGTAGAAAATTCCACACCTGACTTCATGTGACAGACCAGTCAAAACAGGTGGTACAACAGTTTACTGTGTCCCCAAGGGGGGTGGGAATCTCTCCAAGCCACTTTGGCTGTGATATACCCATTTTATGTATAAAAGTTATTTAAGATGTATAAATGTATGTTATTTAAAATCTTGTATAAAATTACCTTAAGGTGTACATGAAACAAATGAATTTCATGTTTAGATTTGGGTTCCAATCTCCAAGATATCTCATTATGTATATGTAAATATTCCAAAATCTGAAATCGGAAAGAATTCTGGTCCCAAGCATTTTAGATGAAGGAAATTCCACCTACACTATGTGCTTTAGAAATTAGAGGTTGATGGGGGGAAAACAGCATAATTTGAGGTAGAACAACACTAACGGGTATGACAGTATAGAGTGTATTGGTAATATTTTACACTGGCATACAAATATTTTCCAACATTACAAGATATTTTGAAATGTATAGGAAAATATGAACAGTTCTCTTTTTCTGTTTTCATTCATATATTTGGACCCTCAAAGTAGTTATGTACATTTGTCACTAAGTCATATGCCAGGTTCTCTTTTTGTTGTTTTGGTTTTTGATGTAAGCATGTGCTCCACCACTGAGCTACATACACCCCCAGCCCTATTACATAATTCTTCAATTAAAAATATTTTAGTGTCCATTTAATTAAAAGCTTCAGGTCAGGCATTTTTGTGTCCCCCACTTTCCTAGTATATCATGAAAAGAACAGATGCTATAAATATTTTCAAAATGAATGAACAAAATGAGTCAGTTACTGGAGCTCCCTAAACAGCCTGCCTCGCAGTAGAGATCACGCAGATGTGGCACACAGAACAACAGCCAAGGTTCTACTTAACATGACCTGATCATACTTATGAACATTTGTTCCTTTTAATTTCACAGCAATGCAAAGCTTAGTAAGGTATAAACAGAAAAGCACAAAAAAGAAAACACAAATGTTTGTGAACAAATCATATTAAGAAAGTCTGAGTTTTATTTAGCATTATATCTGAGGCACTAATGAAAATAAAGGAAGAAATTAAAGATGGATTCCACATTTAATTTTAAGGAGTCTCACGATAAGGAAAGTACTCTGTAACCAATCTTGAAAGTATGAAAACATCATATGTTTACAATACACAAAATATACTACAGTGATGTCCTATCAAATGACAATAGTCTCAATATCTTCAAAGTCTTTTCAATCTAACGACTCCATGTTGTTTTTCCCAATTACAACTAAGTATTCTACAGACAAAACTAACAATGCAGAAAGCTTTCTGGGTTAAGAAAGCTGTGAAAGAATATGATGTTGGCCCTGAGAAACAAATAAACTGGCCTAGTGTTCAGCCAACATAATGCTACAAAAAGCCTGAAAGTGTTAGTATTTACATCTCAGACAAGATAAAGGAGACAATTCTCTTTAAACTACAATTTTATACTTACATAGAAAATCATGGTTCTTCAGACATTAAATTCACATTATACTAAGTATTTTAAAGCAACATTTACTTTTTGGTGAAGGGGCCAAAATAAGAATTAGGATTTTTAGAAATGAAAAAGGAAGTACACTCAAGGTTAATAAAATGAATGAATGAGCCAACTATGTGTGTTCCACTTACTTCTGCCCAGGATGACAAATAAACAAATTAGAAGCTAACATACAAGAAGTATTTTTAAAACCACAGACATCAAAATGGGAAAAAGAGATTTAGACATGATGTAATATCTCCTCAGAAGAGCCTTCTTTGAAATGCAGTTATTATATAAGCATAGTAAGAACTGTGGGAAAAAAAAAAACCCCAAAGACTGGTATTACATCAGTAGAATCTATTTAATGACTTTAATAATGCTATTATTTCTAAAGTCTTTCACAAAAGGGCACCACGATTCTTCAGTTTATTGCAAACATAGCTTTAAAAAAAAGTCAGCCCTAGTATCGAAGCTAGTTTTTAATTATTGGCACTATACTATAAAGCACAATGAAGAACACCTTATTTAAATAAGAGGAGGATATTTTATTGGGCAATATATCCAACCAATTTTTTCTCTCTCCAATGGTGATATCTTACACACTAGTTTCTAAATAGATGCAAATGTTTAAAAAATGACGAAAGCCATGGTTTGCTCCAGAATACTATTATTCACATACCATATAGGTTGTTTTACAGCAGATACTAGTTTGCCAAGCTTCAGGTGGCAAAATGCTAAGTTGTGAATCTGGTATTGTCCAGCTAGTTGTTTCTCCTTGTTCTGGAGACTCTGGTGGCATGTGCTGTTGAGTGATCACCCTGTTGCCACCACTTCCCTTCTCACAGTTGGATCCACTACTAGAGTAGAAGATTCATGTCCTTAAGATGCAAGGCCTAGCAAAAAGCCTCCCACAAATCCACTGGATATCACTATGTTCTGTTTGATAAATTCTGTTGCCTGAAAAACAAAGTAAATTTTAAACAAAAACACTCTTAATTATGTTACAATATGGATTAACTTGGGAAACATGTTAAGTGAGATAAGACAGACAAAAAAGAACAAATGTATGATTCTACTTATGAACCGTTAAATTCATCAAGTCAGAAAGCAGAATAGAGGTTACTAAGAAAGAGGGAGAAACTGGAAATCTGTATTTAATGGGAACACTAAAATAGTTAAAAAGAAAGTTCTGCAAAGGGACAGTGGCAGTAACTGCACAGAAGTGTGAATGTACTTAATGCCACTGGATTGTACATTTTAAAATGGCGAATTTTATGTTAAATATATTTTACCACACAAAAAAGATACATTTGAAAAAATACTCTTAATTGTTGAACCTGGAGCTAAGTAACATTCTCAGCTTAATTTGATGACTATTCAGCAAAAATTCCTATGTACCTACTTACTACACAGGTGCCAAACACCAAGCAAAATCCCAGAGCTGTCCATTACAAATTGAATAAGCCTAGAGTCACTGCCAGGCCAAGAAAGCTCTTCAGCTACTGAAATAATTGGTATCTGAGCAGCAGTAACCTCACAGGTAAAAAGAAATTTACCTATAGGGCAGATGTAAATGCCCATTCATCAAGTCATTAACAGATTATTTAATAAATGGCCACAGAAGGCCTGGTATTTATTAATAGCCCATTTAGCTAGTAAAAAGAAAATATATACAAGATAAAAAATGTTGCTTAGATTAACACAATTAACCCAAACAAAACCACAACGAAATTATTAGAAAAAAACAAACTGTGGAATATTCTGCCTAGATGCTTAAAAAATGTCAAGGTCATAAAAGACTGGGGGAGGGTGAAGGATGACAGGTGAGAAAACTACTAAATGAAACTTGAGGTATATGATAACCAAATGCCTGGTCTTAGCTAAAAGGTGGAGAATACACAATTCTTAATTGGAAAAAGTTAAAGAAGATATTTTGTGGAAAAATCTTTATATGAACCATATATTAGAAAATATTAAGGTATCATGTTAAAATTTTTTGGATTCATAATGGTATTTGTAGTTGTGAGGAAAATATCCATACTCTTAAGTAGATACATGCTAAGGTATTTAGGGGTGAAGAGTCATAACAGATTAAATAGTTCAGGGAAACAAATGTAATTGTCACTCACACAGACAAATGCAGCAAAATATGAACAATTTGGTAAATAGGTGAAGGGTGTTTGAGTATTCACTTATATCTTTCAATTTTTCAATTGGTTTGAATATTTTCAAAATAAAAGGATAAAACAAAAAAAGGAAGGGAGTATCCAATTCTAAACAGTATAAGAAAATATACAAATTAATAAAACTAATATGTTGATCATATTAACAAAAATAAAGCATATACATTTTCAAACTATTCTAGCTGAAGAAAATAATGAGTAGTTTTACTTTTATTTTACTCTACACACCCCCACACACATACATCTACAATTATAAAAGCAGAGAAAAAGTTGGGGAAGAATAATATTATCAGCTTTTTCATGTAGATCAAAATGGGTGGGAAATGAGAAAGAGAATCTGTGTTAACCACCAAAACAAATAATAATTGACTTGAAAGGTGGTTTGATCCCCAAATTTACTTAACACTCCAGATATATGACTAAAAACATCATTTTTTTTAAATAAGGAAAACCCCAGTCACATTTTCTGTGAGACCCATTAACAAAAAGAAGAACCCAAATTATATTTCTTACTTCTTCAATTATATTGTTGATTTCAGGTGCTGCTTTGTTTGCTCGTTTCTTAATCTGTCTTTTTGCTTTGTTTACATCTTTTTCAACTCTCTTCCAGTCGACCTGCACATAGCCACTGTGACTGGCAATCTGCAAAAATATAATAAAAATGGCTATTATCCAGGAATGTATTAACATTTAGATTGCAAGGAATCCATGAAACTTTTAAGAAATTGTTATTTATTCACTAATTTATTCATTCAACAGATACTGAGTGCATAGTCTGTGCCAAGCATTGAAGGGAGACATAAGCCCCACTGTCAGAGAGCTCTAGGTCAGTTAGGGAGAACAGATATTAAGCCTAAATAACTAATTAAATAGAAAAATGTAGTACATGATGGGAAAGATTCCAAAAATTATAATTATGCTATAATTCTATTATACCTTTTGGAATAGGGAATTAGTTAAAAAGGACAGAGAGTACTCAAAATTATATAGCTAATAAATAGTATCTTTTGATTAAACAGATGTTTAATTACTATGAATCAGAAGCCAGTTATTAGGTCACTAAAGAAATCTAAAGTAGCCAGATAAAAGCTCTTCACTAACTCTCTTAAGAATACTTTCTGGTAATTGCTTTTGAAAGTAGAATATAAAAGAAATATGCTCTATACAGATTCATGCCATAAATCCTTTTAATACAACTATAGCTAAATGCCTATTAATCATTAAAAAAAAAAACTCTTATATGGTGCTACCCAGACACTGCAAAATCTGAACAGGAACAATAGTTTGAGTATAAGCCAGTACAGTAAGTTGGTGCCCCAAAATAATAAAATCAAACATAAATAATCATATAAATATATACAATATATACCATTATAATTCCATTATATATGTGTGTGTGTATATCATTATAAATAATTTCTCCTGAGCTTATACTCAGTAATTTTTACTTTATTTTTTAATTTTGTAGTGCTGAGGATGGAACCCAGGGTCTTATGCATGCTAGGCCAACACCCTATAATTGGGTTACATTCCTATTTCTCTTTGTAAACTTTTAATACATGGCTTTGACTTTTAACCACACATAAAAAGGCTCCTTTTCCTAAGGTTCATTATTTTTTTGGTTAGAATAAGCCAAATATTATCTATGCCACCATTAACCAGCAATCACCAAATCAATTGTCATTTTCAAGACTCAACATTTTAAGAAATTTTTTGAAAAGTTAATCTTGAGTTATACTGGTGATAAAATAACCAAAAATCTTAACTACATTCCCTGGGGTGATGGCTTATCTACTCACCCCCAATTCTCAGCAAATGAATAAAGGAAGCCATTTAATCAGACAGATCAAATTCTCACAAACAGCATTCAAAAACACAATACATGAAAAAATTTTACATAGCCACTTTTAACCAAAAGGTAACAAATCCAGCATTATCTGAGATGAAGATTTTGTAGACTTTAAAGAATCCCCTGTTTTAAGGTAAAATGTCAAACAGTTTCAGGGAAAATGAAAAACCTTGAGATGCTTAGGGACATGAATGACTCTCTGAGCTTCCTTCCTGGACACCTCTAGCAGTCAGAGCCTTTTTACTCTGCTCTCTCAGTACCACATCCACCCTTGAGCTCAGCACTGACCAGATCATTAAATTTGTTTGCCAATACCTACTTCACCCAGTGAACTGTGAATGTCTATGTCCCTAGAGTCTTGAATAATGTCAGGCAAACAGATAAATAAAGAACAATGAATAAATGATGATAAATACTAAATCCCCAAAGCTGTATTAACTAACCTGGCTCAAATAAGAGTCTAACAAAAGACTGTGCTAAATTATCCCAAAAAGCCCTATCATGCCTACTAGTGAGTGAGAGAATGATCTCTGTCTACGACTGGTCAGACCACTACCACTGAACAGATTTTCTTGAGACATTCACTGCTATCTTCCTTTGAAGGCTCATCTGATCAAACTGAAGGATACCAACAAACTTAGCGGCATGCTCCAGTGCAGAGATGGCCGAAAATAAGTAACGTGACCCCAGTGGGTTTCGGGTATATATTCAACCTAATTGACAAGTACCTCCAAGAACTGACGGTACAGAACCCACTTAAATCTTGTCTACCCAGAAATCATCTGAATCTTTCCAGGGAAAAGCAAACCAAAAGATTGGGAAGAAAGTGAGGCAGTGACAATTGTTTTTTGAACAAAACTTGACTTTTCTACAACATTAAAATATTTAATGAAATTAGGTAAAGAGGTTTTATTAGAATAAAAGCATCCAAGTTAAAAATAAGGCTGGCTTTTAGGTAAAGATTCATGTCTGCTGAAAAACTATAAACAGGTAGATAGGGCTTTTTGTGAGCCTCACCATAGGTGAGTTTCAATGGGAAGACACCCCCCTACCCAACTTCAGACTTTAAGATCATTTTTCTTGGACTAGTTAAACCTCCCAAAGAATGGAAAACCTTATCACACATTTGAAGCTTCCCATCTGTTTTTTTGTGCTCAATTCTTAAATATGAACGAAGGATAATGAAGATAACAAGGATCATCATCAGGTAGGAGGAAGACCTTTAACATGAAAACTGAAGATCAAAGAAAACAAGCAGGGACAGGGTGGAAGGATCCAGGGGAGGGGTTGGTATGTAGCTCAGTGGTAGAGCATTCACCTCGCATGCTCCAGGCCCCAGGTTCAAGCCTCATTGAGGAGAGAGGGGAACAACACAAAACAAAACAGAGGAACAAACTATGCAGGAACCGGTTTAATAACAAAAATGAGGGCTGGAGGTATAGCTCAGTGGTAGAACACTTGCCTGGTACGTGTGAGACCCTGGGTTTGATCCCTAGCACCACCAAGGTAAGTAAATAAATAAAAGTCAAAACAACAAAAGAAAACCAAACCTGATCATTGATGGCCAGATAAATTTAAAAAGATAATGCACAACTGAAAGAGCTCCCAATGGCCAAAGCTACAACAATTTGACCCAATAAAATGGTGTAAATAATGATTGAATAAAAATTAATAAAAGGGCTAGATATGGTGGCACAGTCCTGTAATCTGGTACTCAGGAGGCTGAGGCAAGAGGATTGCAAGTTCAAGGACAGCATGGGCAACTTAGCAAGACCCTGCCTCAAAATAAAAAAAATTAAAAGGGCTGAGGGATGTGGCTCAGTGGTAGCACACTCCTGGGTTCAATCCTCAGTACTGGAAAGAAACAAAAAAAAAAGCAAAGGGAAAATCTGGAATGGGATTGAAGGGAGATCCTAGGATACAAGCTGTATACCAAGCCTACAAAACAAGAAGAAAAGATGACTCTGGGACAAGTTTGTCCAGAAGATTAAACTGACGGACTATTCCATACATATGACCATAAAAGATTTAGACAACTAGGAGTTATCTTGAGAAATAATCCCAAACTTTCTATAAGAAACAACCGCCAAAACCTTCTCAAACAAGGTTAAAGACCTAAATTCAGAGATGCGACATCCTTAGTGACCTCCAGGCAATGATCTAACACAATTATGAAATAACATCTTATACTGTGTGGGTGAGGATGACTAGAGAGCATTCAAGTGTGTGAGAATGTGAGAAGGGGTAGGGAGAACAGAACAATTCAATACACCATAGCTAAATTCTCACATTTCATAATGGGAAGCCAATAGTTAAAAACTAAGACTGAAAGATCAAGAAATGTCCAATTAACTTGTTTATGGAAAGGGAAAATCAGCTAAGAGTTCAAAGTGGTTGCCTCAAAGGAGAGGAAAATTAGGGTAGAGAGGGAGGCAGAGGATTACTCTGATCTGTAATAAGCCTTGTACCAGTATTTGATCCTTTGACTTATGTACATATATAACTTCAAAAATGTAAAAACAGCTATATGCCATTGTCTATTTTTTTTAAGTCAAGTGAAGAAGTGGGAACAGACAAGGAACAAGAAATCTCTAAATGGTTGTGGATCAAGTATTTGTAAACAACCCTATACTCTGACAAGTCCCATTTTTGTGGTACTGGGGATTGAGCTCAGGGGTGCTTTATCACTGAGCTATGTCTCCACTCCTTTTGATTTTATTTTGAGGCAGGGTCTCTCTAAGTTGTCCTGGCTGGCCTTGAACTTGCGATTCTCCTGTAGCTGGGATTCTGGGCCTTGCTGTTATACCTGGCCCCATTGTTTACCTTAAGATGGCAGTATGATAAATATCTACTGAGAAACACTTAATAGTGTTATGATAAAAGTTTTTAAATGCTAAGTAAGCTAATATTTATCTTTAAGTGTAGGTAAAGATTGAAAAATCTGGAATCAAGCCTAAAAAAAAATTAGGCAATTAGCCTAAAAGCCACTTGTTTCTGTATTTCCTCTTTCAGGTTCCTCCTACTGAGTTTTCAAAGCTAATTATATTTGTAGAAAAAGTAGTTTAAGGAAGATAGGACCTAGCAAAATGTGGGTTTGAATTATCTATATTCAGTGAACAGAAATGAACTTCTGAAAAACTGACATTGCACAGTAGATTAAAATACACAATTCTCTCTGTGAACATTTTAGAAAACTACTTCAGTCCAATACTTGTTGGGTTTTTTTTTTTTTGGCAGTACTAGGGATAAGACCCAGGGGCACTTTACTACTATGTTATATCCCCAGTCTTTTTTATTTTTTGAGACAGGGTCTCACTAAGTTGCCCAGGCTGACCTTGAACTTGCAATCCTCCTGCCTCAGCATCCTGAGTAAACTGGAATTATTGGCATGTACCATTGTGCCTGGCCCAGTCCAGTATACTCTTTTGCACCAATAATGATAATTAGTTTTCAAAACAGCTATAGAATTAAATATGTTCTTCTATACAAACCCAAGTCAAAATCAGCTAGAGAAAATTCTCTTCTGTATATAAACACTGGCAAAGTCATCCAAAGGACTAAATTTAGACATTAATCATATTCTTTTTCACCTCTTACCTTAAGAGGTAATTATGACTAATAATGTCACAAAAAGAAAATACATATCTTTTAAAAAGCTGTTTAATAAATAACTCAAATTCAGTGCTGCACACATGATCTGGTCCCTTTGAACATAAAGGCAACTACACTGGTTATTAGGATCAATGGCTTAGCTACTGAAGTCAAGATTTTGATTGCTGTAAGCATCAATCATTTTTTAAATCTGGTATAACTGACAGTTCTCTGTATCTTTAAAATTGTTGCTAACATTCATTCCCAAAGATTTTCAATTTTTGGATTTACTATATTTGATCTTCAGGGAATGATATTTTTGGGAAAATATATGCCAAAAAGACATGAATGCCAGATAATATCCTGATAAACATCCTCTAATGGCAAAGCATTTTTAGACCTTATACTCAGAGGAAGATGAACAAAATTAAAATTTTAATCCACCTGCCTCAGTAATAGGATTATGGATAGTTATTTTTAAACCTAATTTTCTACTTTCTATATTATTATGGTTCTTTAGTTTTAAAAAAATGTTAGAAATTGTTAATATCAGCTTCCTCTGGGGAGAATAACTGTGTAACTAGGAAACAAGGAAAAGAAGAGCACTTTTGAATTCTATAAACAGGGAAAAAGAGACCTTCGGAATTTTTATGCATGTGAATTTTAAATAGAGGTTTAAAATGGCCAGGATACGTAGGTTATATTATTGGTGAAATGATTATTTAGCTAGGGAGATATTTTAAGAGACATTTAGGTAATAATTAAAAAATGAATTTTTATATTCAACTTTCAAGTTTTAAATGGTATCTTTTTAATAGCTGGAAACAAACTACACTAGAACTGGAGATCTTAGAATTATTTGATTTGTTGTCTTTCATGAAGATGCCAGCTTTCAAAACTCACTGCAGTTTTTCCATATACTGACACCTAAAGGAAAAAAATCTACATCCTGTTAAAGTGGACAGAAGTAAAATGGCTAAACTTGACATTCTTAGTTCTTAAGAGCTACCTATGTAAACACAGGCAAGCATATAAAACTGACATACCTGAAGGAGAAGAAAGCCTCCTCCCACTGCAGTAGCTGCAAGTTTTCCAACCTTCTGGAACAAAAATCCTGCACACCTTTAATGAAGAAATAATAAAAGATGAGATCAATATACTAAACCCTCTCCTCTTTTACTTTTTATTACTTTCCTAATGTCTTCCCATTCCTTTTGATCATATCCCTTGCCTGCTCAAAAACCCTCAATGTTTCCCTTTAGTCACATAGGCTAGTCAAAAATACACAATCTAAAAATGTTTGAGATTTGCTGCAAAATAAGAGATGGTGAGAGGAGGAGGATTTATAGGTAAGAGTTGCTAATGAAATTGAATGATGAATACTTAGGGGTTTCACTATACACATTCTATATTTGTGCAAGCTGAAATTTCCTATAATAAAAGTGATTTGTTTTCTTTTACTTAATAGTCAAGATATTCCATACACCTGGCCAACATCCACTTTACCCAAACCTTCTGCTTCACCCAATTAATTTCAAAATAGTTTATCATCTTTGTTTGAGCTATTAATCTCCCTGGTTCTAGGGGTTTTTGCCTAACTCTGCCTATCTAAAGCTTTCCTACCCTTTAAGGTCCAGATGTAGTTCCACTTTTATGACTACACTTCAGCCCACATTTGTCAGAGCCTCCTTATCTATATCTATTTTTATATTAAATCTGTGCTGTCTCATCTATGCTGTAACAGTGTCAGCCTATACTTCAGCGAGCTCATATTCCTTAGTATTCCAGATGCATATTGTGCAAAAGAATCTGATTTCTAACTCTAGCATTCTGCACTGAGTTCATGTTCCCCCCAAATTCGTGTCCTTCTCAGAACCTCAAAATGTGATTTTATTTGGAAACAGATTCACTGAAGATGTAATTAATTATTCCATGAGGTTATATTGGAACAGGGTAGGCCCTAATCCGAAGTGAGTCATATCACAGAATCATAGACACACAGAAGGAATATGACCATGTGATAACAACAAAGGGAGAGATCAGAGTGATATACTTACAAGCCAAAGAATGCCAATGATTGCTGGAAGTGAGGAGAGAAACATGAAAGAGATTTCTCCCTCTGAGCCTCCAAGAAGGAACCAAGCCTGCTGACACCTTGACTGCAAACTTCTAGCCCCCCAAACAGTAAGAGATAAATTTCTGTTGTTTTAACCCCCCAGGTTTGTGGTACTTAGTTATAACAGTCCTAGAAAACTAATATACCTTCCTACATTTGAAATTACATGATGGGCTTCTCCAGTACCTAGAACCACATATGCAAAAACATCTTTCCAACCAAAAAACTATTGCTAAAGTCACAATTTATTAGTACCATTCTCCAGGCCTGCCACCTCACATTTGTCTCAGGACTCTATCATCTTCATTCTTGGTACAACTGATTGCCAAGTTCTATATCCTCTTTATCCAAAACATTATCTGACTCTTTTTTCCTTTCCATTCTTAAGGGCATCATTACCTTGGTAATGGTTTAGGCTTCTATTACCTTGCTTCCAGACCACTCTAAAGGCACACTAACTGGTCTTCACACCTTCCATGTCTCCTAGCAACCACCCCATCTTAATATTAGTTTTAATTTCTTATGATCAAAAATGTATAATGGGGTTGGGGATGTAGTTCAGTTGGTAGAGCACCTGCTCACCACATGTGAGGCTCTAGACACACACACACACACATACACACACACACACACACACACCACAAAACTAAGGCTACCTACAGCTAAATATAATTTCCTTAGCTTCTGTTAACTGGTTAAGTTAATGTCCTACTAACCATTCCTCCTTAATATTATAATATACAACATATTAATATATACTAACATATAATATCACATCAATTTTATTCCCTCAGAAAATTCTAAAAATTTACTATATTGAATTTAAAGTCATTATAAAAAATCATCTGTATAATATTAACATCCTATTACACAGCTCTTAGCCTGGCATCTGGCTATACTCCAAAAGTATATATTACTATCAAGAATATGTCCCTCATAGGGGAGCCAGCAATAAAGACTCAGAAAAAAGAGAAGCAGCAAATAGCCAGCTTTCTACATATCCAGGTTGGGTACTCCACAAGCTGTATTGATCATTGTTTGATGGTATTAGTCACTAAGATGGACCTACTAAATTCTGCTGCTTTGTCTCTAGGCTATCCAAACAAACTTCTGCCAATTATGGGGCTTCTTATAAAGGAGTGTCTACAAGATGAAAATGTACAATGACCTGATAATTCTATTTCTCAATTATTTAGTATCTTTTAATATCGGGCTTTTGGCCCTGACTTTAACCAATCACCCAGGGCATCAAATTATGGGTTTATTTAAACAGAAGGCCATACCCTGAATTATGGAGAAAGAGGTACAATCAACCTATGGCAAATTATCTAAATCAAATTATCTGAATCAGCCCTGATCAGAAATCTCTCTTCTAATTGCAGGCTTTTTTTTTCATGTAGCAGCATTAATAAATACACATCAGTAATAAATACTGCAACTCTGTGCCACAGAATCTTCACAATAGCTGTTTCTATCATTAAAAAAAGGCATTTATAAAAGGGCATAGAGGAGTGCACCATCATTCTGAGCACATAAAATACAAATAAAAAATTTTAATTTACACTTATTAAATGGAAATGTTAATATATAAATTAATGTGAAACGAATTTAACAGAGTCTAAAGAAAAAATATTATTCACAAGGCAAGCACTCTAAATTTAAAAATTCTCTACAATCACGAACATTTTCAAAATAAAGAATTCAACTTGCTTTTGCCTACTCCATTACCCGAGTAATCTTTTGTTCCAAAAATAACAGAATTAGATCAATAGTAGCAACTGTGTAATTATGTGGTCTGATGTTACTTGGTTAGCTTATTTATTAACTACTCCTTAATGTACCCCACAATATTATTACATCAGTAAGCAATGAGTCCTTTAATTCCAACATAGAATATTCAACAGCTCTTCTTTAAAGCATTATCATAATCTGAACCAGCCCACAAAAAATGTCAGCTGTATCATCATTAATTTTTTGAAGCACTATCTCTGAGCTATATCCCAAGCCTTTTTTTTTTTTTCCTTTAGGACAAAGAATCTCCCTAAGTGGCTCAGGCTGGCCTGGATATTTGCAATCCTCCTGCCTCAGTCTCCCAAATAGCTGGGACTACTGGCATGTGTCACAGAGCCAGCTTTCATCTATAATTTTTACCTAGCATTTATACTGCTCTCTACAAGGTTGACAATTATAGAGGCCAGTTCTGCTATAGGAGTTTCTCACAGGTTTTTCCAGTTGTTGGCACTGAATGGCAAGCAAAAATTTATATATAGTTTTTTTTCATATATTTCTTCCTATCTACTCACTATCACTGAATCAGATCCACATTTGCTAAACTTGAGAAACAGGAAATATGTTTTAAAAAAAGCAAAGGAAGGATAGGAGGAAAGAGTGAAATATTGGTGGGCATGGAAGGGGATCACCAAAATCCAACAGGAAGTCTCTGAAGATAGATCACACCACTTGGATCACAAGAAAACCCCTCAAAGTAGTACTCTTCTGAAATTAACAGTGTACACCCACTGAATGTGCATGGTGACTCTGGCCCATTTATAGAAGGACAATAGTCAGGCTCTCAATGAAATTTAATGAAAAAGATGTTCTCACCAGCCAGTCACGCCACCCATTACAATCTGGGTAGCTACTGAGTATTTTTCTACCATAGGTCCCGAACTGTGGCCAAACACTCGATTCCACCAGTGGTGTCTTCTTGCATACTCAGTTAAATCCAACACTTCGTAAGAGTCGTCATCACTTTCGTATTCTTCAAAACACAAAATAGAAAAAATAAAATTGAGTCAATGGAAAGTCAGAAATGTTCTATACATTTTTCTTTTGGCCTAAGGTCAAAATGCCCAAATAGAAATTAATAAATTTGTTTAACTCAATTCCTGAGACTAGCCAGGCATAGTGGTGAACAATTGTAATCCTGGCTACTCCTAGGGAGGCTTGAGGCAGGAAGATCCCAATTTGAAGGCCAGCCTGCACAATTTAGAGAGACCCTGTCTCAAAATTAAAAATAAGGCAGCTCAGTGGTAGAGGGCCTCTGGGTTCAATCCTAAGTACTGGGGGTGGGGGGAGGGGAGGGCTTCAACAGTAGAGGGCCTGGTAATAAAACCCCCACCTCCTTTCCAAAGGCCCAGGGATCGCCTGGGGACCCCGAGCCAGTGTCAGTTCAGAATTACACAGCAAGTGAGGGTTCAACCCAATCTCAGAGTTGGGTCAGGGTCTGAACGGGGTCCATTTTCATCAGTGGAAAGAGAGGGTCTTCCTCTAGGAAAGGAAAACACTTCAGAATGGGACTCAAATAAAAACAACACGTTTGAAGATGGAGATGAAGTGCTAGAGGTGAAGGTCGGGTAGGGCTGTGTTGGGGGTGGGGGATCATTCTCCGCCTGAGTTCCGCAGAGCGGATAGGGAGAAGTCTAATTCGGAAGGGGTGGTCATAGGGAAGGAATAAGCGCTGTGGGCACAAGGTCGAGTGCTGTGAGCCGCGTCCCAAATACTACCTCGGGCCCTGGCCGCTCACCTTGGGGAGGGGGGTTCCGGGACGCCATGATACCGCCGGCGGCCAGTTCTGGGGTGGTCCCCGCCCGCCCTCCTCTCCCACGCACTTTAAGGGCCGCTCTAGGCCAAGGTAGAAGTCTATGGTCTCTTCTTTTTCCTCCACCACCACCTCCTCCTCCTCCTTCAGGCGCGTTGTCGCGTCCCCGCCCACTTCTCGCCGCGCAAGACCATCTGCGCAGGCGCGTTGCTCGGTAGGTTGGGGGGAGGGACAGTCGGCTCTTAGCCCCGCGAGGGCTATGGGAGTTGTAGTCAGTTGCCCTCCTCCTACGTGGCGTGGGATCCTCCCAACCCCCTCTAGAATTTCCATAATCATAATTTCAGTTATTTTGTTTTAAAGAGCCTCGGGGCTGGAGAAATGGGTGGAGGGGCTGCACGTGGTAGTGTAGAGGGAAAACCAGGTTGGTATTGACAGAGACCAAACTTAAAAGGCTCTTATGAAGCTCTTTTTTTATTTTCCCTAGGCCACCCACTTAGGTTCTGTCCTTGGCCTGCTTCATCTACTTGTAGCAAGATTACTGCTAAATGGGCCTGGGGTTGTGACTCAGTGGTAGAGTGCTTGCCTAACACATGTGAGGCACTGGGTTCAATCCTCAGCACCACATAAAAATAAATAAATAAAATAAAGGTATTCTGTCCAACTACAACTACCAAACAATTAAAAAAAAAAAAAAGGTTACTGCTAAGTCAGGTTAGTGAGAATCCCCTGACCCCTTGATGTCAAATCACCCTCAATATCCATTCAAATTCCCCATCCCGCATGTGTTATCTGATCACACAGACCTTCACTGACTATAAATCTTCAGCTGTCTTTGCTGTATTTACTGTTGAGCTGGACCCTTCATCCTCATTGTAGTAGTCCTGACACCTATTTCAAGAGTCCTGAATAAAGTCTTCCGTACCATTTTAAAAAGTGTCAAAATAATTTTTTAAACAGTGTTTTGAGCACTAATGGATTCAATCACTTGAGGAAAAAGGATTTTAAAAAGATGTAAGACAAATGCTGTTTCAAGCCACATTTTGGTAAAGAGGCAAGGACTCACTGTTAGGTGCAGAACAGGCTTAACTATGTTATCTGCAGGGCAGGCTGAACAAATGTTAGCTGCAGGATGGCCCACACACTTAAACCTCCTTCTGTCTGGTCCTTTATCACCTGTTTGCGTCAAAGCTGAACATTCAACCCCCACTCAAGGCTGAACACTTAACCCCCCTTGTGCCAACAAGGCAGCTTGCAGACCAGAGATTTGGGCTATAAAAACTCCCTCCTGCTTTTGCGCTTGCGCTCTCTCTCTCTCTCTCTCTCTCTCTCTCTCCCTCTCTCTCTCTCTCTCTCTCTCTTCTCCTCTGTTGCACTGCTGCAAAAAGATCTCTTGGTCGCTCCAAGTGTTGTGGTCACTTTCCTTTCACTCACCAAAGGGACAAATTTTTCTAACACCCTGCTGCTGGGAATCAGAACCTTTCTCTCCATATACTCTGTCGGGAAGTCCTTGGATTTGGCCTCGTAGGAGTTACTCAAGAGCACATAATTTTAAAAAATCATTCTATTTAAATCTGACAGAGCAATAAGGTCAAGTTTTTTTACTCAAAAACTCCATGGGATTCTACAGAATGTAAAAGCATGATGGTGACCAAACAGCTAACCCAAATTCATATATCCTAGCCCAAAACTATTTATTTATTTGTTTGAGTATTTATTTATTTATTTATAGTACCAGGGAATGAACCCTGGGCCTCTCACATATTATGCAAGCACTCTGCCACTGAACTACGATTCCCAAATTCCCAGCAAACCCTCTTTTTTTTTTTTTTTTTTTTTTTTTTTTTTTGGAGACAGGGTCTCTAAATTACTAAACTTGGCCTCCAACTTGCCATCCTTCTATCTCAGGTTCCCAAGCCAGGGGATTACAGGCATGTATCACCACACCAGGCTCTGAAACTTATTTCCAACTTGCATTGTATCTGAATTTGCTGTGCAATTAAACAAAATGGCCCTCTCAGTATTTATTTTAATAGAAGATCAAGAATATCTAGTATACACTGTATTACTTAAAACATTGACTTGCATTATTTCACTTGACCTTTCAAATCCTGGTACTTTTAAAAATAATATTCTTATTTACTAATATTGTTTTCATTTAGATAGCTTGCAAGTTTACATTTCTGTTATTTGTTGAGAAAGAATTTTCTTAAGTATGTAATATCCTTATAAATCAAATTGTTTACCTTTATTATCATGTGTAATCTGATACTAATTTCCATTAACTATTAAGAAACTTGTGTTTATTTAGTTCTTACTATATCTGTGCAAATAATTAACCTGTTAGCTTCAATTATTTGTTCTCCTTTCATTTAAAATTGATTGGAAGCTGAGTGTTGTGTCACATGCCTGTAATCCCAGTGACTAGGGAGGCTGAGACAGGAGGATTGCAATTTCAAGGCCAGCCTCAGCAATTTAGCCAGACTCTGTTTCAAAAAATAAAAAGGGCTGGGGATGTAGTTCACTGGTTAAAGCACCTCTGGGTTCAATCCCCAGTACCAAAAATAAAATAAAATAGATTGGAAAAAGCAAATTATCTTTGCTGTGACTAGGAAGAGATGAGGGCAATACTAACAGTAATTTTATTTACATTAATGTTCATGAAAGTGGTTTACAGAGTCTTGGGGGTAGAGGAGCAAGGTGATAAAAAGTAAACTCTCCAAACACATGGCACAAAGAGAACAGAAGAGAGTTAAGTGCCTCAAAGAGGGGGGGACTATTAGAAAATTTGGACATTGATAGAAAACACAGTGTTCTTTTTTAAAATTTTATTTTAAGACAGGGTTTTGCCAAGTTGCTCAGAGCCTCTGTAAGTTGCTGAGGCTGGCTTTGAACTTGTGATCCTCCTGCCTCAGCCTTCCCAGTCAGTGGATTATAAGTGTGCACCACCACTCCAGCCACATAGTATTCTAAATTTAACAAGGACTTCACTTTTGACTGCATCTCTGCCTCCATTTTGTATCTGTTTCCTTTGCTCTGAGTCACCTAGGAATCCAGAAACAACAGATGTGATTGATAAACATCTTGTGATGCATGGAAACTACCTCCCAAGCAACAGCAATTTTCTTATTGCTGACAGGCCCCACCTGACCAATCCTGAGATGATGAACCAGATCAAGATCTCCTGCTTTAGCAGCTGTGCAAATCTTCCAGCTAGGCAAACCCCAACCCTTGTGCTTATTCCCCTTTCTGTAAAACATTAAAGTCATTGTCAGCCTCTCAAAGACAGGGCTAAGGACCCAGGTCCCTCTTGCCTTTCCAGTATAGCTAAAGTGATTAAAGTATGTTTACTGTTTCACAATTTTTCTATTTTTTGTTCGGGGCGAGTGGTTGGGTCTATTTGTTGAATCCCTAGAGTCAGGCCTCTGGCTTAGGACTCCAGTAACATGAATACAAAAGCATTAAAATAATCTGCCTATTCTAAGGTGATTAAGTCCATAGTGCTTCTGATTCCAAGAAACAGCATTTTATCTAGAAATAATGACTAGACAAAAACTTTAAAATATTAGTGTAACAGAACCTATATTTATCCTATATCTCCCCAAATTCATTCCTACGTTGAGAATAGGACCAAGAAGGATAACTTGTTGAAGATTTTTTTTCTTTCTTTCTGTGTACTGGGTCTAAAACCCAAGGCCTTTTGCAATTAGGAAACACTCTATCACTGAAGTACACACCCAGCCCCTTTTAAATTTTATTTTGAGACAGGGCCTCAAACTGGCATTCTTCCTGCCTCAGCCTCCCAAGTAGCTAGGATTACATGAGTGTACCACTGCATCCAACTCTTGTTTAAGATTCTTTTTTTATTTATTTTTTTCTGGTACTAGGTGCTGAACCTAGCGGGGCATTACTACTGAGCTACATCCTTAGCCTTTTTTATTTTAGCCTTGCTAAATTGCTCAGACTGGTCTTAACCTGTGAGCTTTCTATTTCAGCCATCCTAGTAGTTGTGATTAGAGGCAAGTGCCACTGTGCTCCACTTGTTCAAGATTTTTAAAAATTGGGCTCTTGAAATTGATTAAAGTTATTTCAGGACATAGGTTAAGAATTTGTGAATCAAGGAAATAGCCATTGAGATACTTTATTTGCTTTTACTTTTTATAGATATTTTTGGCAGTTCTGGGGACCAAACCCAGGGCCTTGTGTGAATTCAGGAAGCACACTTTACCCCAGCCCCCAAATTTTGGCCCTTTAAATTCTCTAAAGTTCCTCAGCCTGTGATCCCTGAAATTCAATACTAAGACTGGCTATAAATTTTGAATTAATAAAAACTGAATAACTGCAAATGAGGTCTTAGGAATTGTAATTTGGGAGACAAAGATTCAGATACCTCTGAATCCATGTTCTGAAGAGGCAGATAAAGTGAGAGTTTATATGGTGATTGAAAGTTGGGTAAGAACAGGGGCTATAGGACCCATAGAAAAAAAATTTTAAAAAGAAAATACAAGCCAGGTGCCATGGTGCACACCTGTAATCTCAGTGGCTCAAGAGGCTGAGGCAGGAGGATTACAGGTTCAAAGCTAGCCTCAGCAAAAGTGAGGTACTAAGGAACTCAGTGAGACTCTGTCTCTAAATAAAATACAAAATAGGGCTGGGGATGTGGCTCAGTGGTCGAGTGCCCCTGAGTTCAATTCCTAGTATCCTCCCCCCCCAAAAAAAAGTACAAAAAGAATGGAAGTGTCTATAAAAGAAGAGTCCAAAATCCTCTTGATATGCATCGTGAACCTTTGGGCACCATGTAATTGTCTAGTTTTTCTTGTCATCCCAGATGACTGAGGTCAAAGCTAAGAGATGACCAAAGTTCATGTTCCAGGTAGCAGCTGGTGATGTGTATAAGTCCCGCTTCCTATTGGCTTCCTGACTTCATTTTGAAAATCTCTTTTGATGTTTCTTTCATTGTAATTTTCCTTTTATAGTTTGGATAAGTGTCCACCAAAAGTGTATGTGTTAAAGCCTTGGTCCCTTGCTTTTGTGAGATGGTATAACTTTGAGGGAGGTAGGGTTGAATGAGAGGTCTTTAAATAACTGAGGACATACCCCTCTAGAGGATGTAGGACCCTGGCCCATCCTGCCTCTGTTCCTAGT